GTGGTAAATTATATGGGATTATAATGGGAATATGATGTGCATCCCACTTAGGATCAGTAGTTTATAATTCATATATAACCCATACAAACCATATAACCACTATATATATATAATCCATACAATGCCATGTAATTCATATATAACCCATATAATCCCAGATATATGGCGTGGGGATACGCCGAAAAAGTCACTGGGGGTACCATTTACCAAGCGGGATGACCCCCCAAGTCGATAAAGCGTTAGTCATACGCAGAAGGTAAATCATCAACCATTGCTGATCCAGTTAAACCATCATTAAACCCATTATGAAACCATCATTAATCCATCATTGAAGCATCATTAAAACATCATTTCATGGTAAAATTATGGTATCATCTAGCCATATATATGATATCATGATGTATTAATGATGGTTAATGTGGCTCCACCATTAAAATCACTTAAATCCCAATTATATGGTATCATCTAGCCATTTGAAGGGATAGTGAGCCACATGTTTTTTGCGTGAAGCGAGGATCGTAGCGGACAAGTCGAGCAGCAGCTGCTTCTATGTGGCGCAGCCGAAGCTTTGAGGCCGCCTTTTGGCCAAAAAATGGGGGATTTCACACAGATTTGGTGTCTAATGTTAGGGATATTTTTAGGATATCCTATTTTATGGAGATATCCTATTTTATGGAGATATGTTGGGGATACTTTTTTGGTGTTTAATGGGGATATACCCTCTGGTAAACCAACTGTTAGCGAACTGGAAGCCATGGCCATAGAAATAGTTGATCTACCCAGCTCTAAAATGGTGATTTTCCAAAGCGAACTGTTAGTTTACAGGGTAAATGATGAATGGTCTCCAAGCCTTTTCTTATCCGTTTGTCCATATTTTTCCAGGACATCAAAAAAGGGGCAAACTGGCAAGTCACGTGGCCATTTTTGGCGGAGTCCACCCGCGTGATCTCTTGGTGAATCCCTGAAAGTCACCAAGCTGGGCAGTGAATCCTCTAGAAAAAAGGAATGTACAATGATATTGGTGAGTCCGGTGGAGATATCTCCAATTTGTCTATATATAATAAGTATGGTTATATTATAATAATTCTATGGGATAATAGTTTGGACTATAATGGTCCATTTATGGTTGATTTATGGGGAAATGTGGGATTTCATGTGGGATATTAACATGTGATTAACCATCATATCTGGGTAAATTTCATCACGACCTCACTGTCCTCCCTCACTGGGAATCATGGTTTATTTTAGGGCAATCATCCCCAAATGGCCGCACTATTCAGGTTAGTGAAGTATTATAATTTACCCGGATGATTGGTGACCGTGAATAATGAAGGGATTCACCAAATAACACCCATCAAAGAAACCCAATTTTTTTATCACCATCAAATAATAAATCCCAAATAATGAAGATTTCATCATTTGGGATTTCATGCCAAGAATTGGCCGGGCTTCAAATAAGAATTTTCAGACATGGGACTTTTTGAATCATGTGGATTGAACCCAAGGAATTGGTTTCCGAAGTTCGGGATGATTTGCCCGCATTTTTGCTGGCAAAATCCATGTGAACTATGGGGATTGCACAAAGAGAAACGCAGCAGGTTTCAGCATTTTTCAATGGGCTCAGCCAGGTCAGGTGAGCCCAGGGGATCCGATTGATGAAAGCTAAAAAGGCTAGGAAATAGACCCTAGCGTAATCACCCAGATTCCCTAAATTGGATCCAAATAGCTGTGGAATATAGTGGTTTATTGGGATTTAATGGGATATCTAAGGGGATATAATGGACATGTAATGGGACAATATATACCCTCTGGTAAACTAACAGAACTATGGAAAATCATCATTTCTAATGGATAAATCAACTATTTCTATGGCAGCTTTCAATAGCTATGTTAAATTAACAGAGGGTATGTATTATATAAATATATAGCTAAATCTATATAGCTAATATGATCCATCACCAATATGTGGCATTTGGGATCATCATTCACAACATCAAATGAGCAAACAAGTTATCACCAAAGTCTCCATTTATAGAAGATACTGTGGATGGAAGAAATCCTGCATCACCTTGGATGGTTGAAACCCTATCAATAATGGAATAACCCATCTGTCAACTGGTGCAGGATTTCTTCCATCCACAGTATTTCATTATGTTTCCCTATCATTTCCCTTTCATTGTCCCTTTCACAGCATCACCTTGGGTCTCACCACCATCTTTACAGCTTGCAGGGCTTCACAGCTGCGACCCGCCGTGCGCTGTGCGGCCGAAAAACAACCCGAAAGAAACGTCCGGACGTGGGACGTGGAGTCTTAAGGGATCTTGAACTATCAACAGGGATCAACTAATGGACCTATAATCAACAACAGGGGATCAACTATCAACTTCACAATGGGGATAAACCAATCGTGTAAATGGGCTTTTGATATGTGAAAAAATCTTGGGAAACCGTGGGAAAATCATCTACGCATGTTAATGCACTGAGGATATAGTGGGGATTATCAGGGGATATACCCTCTGGTAAACAAACAGTTCACTATGGAAAATCCACCCATTTTCTAGCTGGGTAAATCCACTATTTCGACTGGGCCATTTTCCATAGCTATGTAACCAATTACCAGAGGGTAAACCTCCATAAATCACCATATTTCCCATATATTTCCCATATATTTCCCATATATTTCCCATATATGTCCCATATATGTCCCATATATGTCCCATATATTTCCCATATATTTCCCATATATTTCCCATATATTCCCATAAATCACCATATTTCCCATATATTTTCCATATATTTTCCATATATTTCCAATATATTTCCAATATATTTCCCATATATTTCCCATATATTTCCCATATATTTCCCATGACTCATGTGCCATGGTCAAAGGCTCATTTTGGGGGACGTACGATTCATGGACATCTAGTTGTGAGAGCAGTTTGGGTGAATCGCTCGGGATGAAAACCCCTGCCATCGCTTGGGATTTCCACCCGATTTTTTGGAGTCCAATGGACTTGAAGTGCTCATGTTTTTAAATAGTTCCGGATCATCATATTTCCAGATCATCATTTCCAGATCATTTCCAGATATTTCATCAGGACTGTCCAGGTATTTAGCATGTTATTTCCAGATCATGTCCCGTTTTTTCCGTGGGTTTTCCATGATTTTTTCCATGGTTTTTCCATATCTTGTGACTTGGGACCCAGGCGAAATCACAAACAACTGCTGAATTCGACGCCAGGTGCGGCACTGCAACTTCACGGAGCGAGGTGCCGAACTTTGAAAAAAAATTCGTCCAATTTTCGGGGGTTTTGCTTACCCTCTGGTAAACTAACAGTTCACTATGGAAAATCACAATTTTTAATGGGTAAATCAACTATTTCTATGGCCATTTTCAATAAATATGTTAAATTACCAGAGGGTACTACAGGATGGGGCCCCATAGTTATGTTTGTTGGTTTATAAACCATGAAACAATCCCCAACAACTATAGTTATATCTACCATAAACCGTAGTATGAACATGCATTTTTTTAAACAACCACTTACTATGAACATAGCATGTTTTGGGTTTTTAGCATTTTGCAAAGTTTTCAGCATCTGAAAAACAGGGGCATCCAACGACTTGACACATTGGCATATCAACATCAATATCACCAATATCACCATAATTTTTCCATCGTTGATGAGAGTCTTCCTTTTGACAATGTCAACCCCGGATTTTGCTAAACCATGGTTTATAATTGGGAGTACTCCTCCAATAGTCATTTCATCTGATACTTTTTTATGGTACCCTCCCAATTAAACAACTGTTTGGGGTTTATTAGTCCAGGGTTGACATTGCAAAATATAATTTTCAAACCATACTTGAGGATATATCTACCTGGTTGATGGTTTGGAACATTTTTTGTTTCTCCATATATTGGGAATGTCATCATCCCAACTGACTTTCATATTTTCAGAGGGGTAGGTATACCACCAACCAGCTCAGAGATCAAAATACATGTAGATACAACGAACACTGAGGGGAATTCACTGCCGGCTTTTGGGATGTCGGAACGTGCGAACGTGGTATGGTCAGTAATGTCAACCCTGCGAACGTTTTTCATTGGGAGGGTACCATAAAAAAGTATCAGATGAAATGACGATTGGAGGACTACCCCCCCTATGGTTTAATAAACCATGGTTTAGCAAAAACCGGGGTTGACGTGATCCCAGTTTTAAGTATGGTCAAATGGCGGTTTCCTGAAATGGTGGTACCCCTAAATCATCCATTTTAATAGGATTTTGCAGCAAATAAACAAACCAGCTATTGGGGTACCCCCATGACTATGGAAACCTCCAAATCATATCCTCAATTTTGTAGGTTCAAACCCCAATAACTATAGTTATATATATATATATATATCTACCATAAACCATAGAATTCAGCCACTTATATCTGCCATTAGTCCATTCATATTTGTTTCTAGAAGTATGGTCTCATATCCTCAATTTTGTAGGTTCAAGACCCCTTCCCGGCCTTCTAGCAGGTTATCATTCACGGAACTACGCCAGGGTTGGAGCCCTCAGCGTCGCCCTCATGGGAGCCCAGTAGCAGCATACCTTTCTGGGAGCATGCATCGCTGTCCATTTCTAGGTTTTTCACCATCCAAACATGCCCAAACAGAAAAAAGACACAGACAGATTCCTCAGATTCCAGTTTTTAAGAGCAACAAGAATAGGTGTTTAAGTGTCAGTTTCTAACCATCCTATCCTGATGAAAGTTAGTACGAAACTGAGCCACGCTCGGCCATGGACCCGGAACTCAAGGGACGGTCCGTTGCGACAGTTTGAGAGACGCTTGCGACGCTCCGCTCGCGTTGTGACGCGCATTTTTCCAGGAATTGATCAGAGTAATGAAGTACCCTCTGGTAAACTTTCACATAACTATGGAAAATCACCATTTTCAATGGGAAAATCCAGTATAAATGGTCGGTCATTTTCAATAGCTATGTAACAAATTACCAGAGGGTAATGACAGTTGAATCACATGTAGTCACCATTTCATAGGCTAAATCATTAAGTCATGATTCAACCACGATTTAGTCACATAAAAAATCACACATAATAGGGGAAACCTAATAAGCAACCGGCCATTTGGGGATGATCGTTAGCCATAAATATGGCTATTTTTGGGATGATGTATTGTTGGGTTTACATGGGTTTACCACATGAGTAAGATTTAGTCGCAATCATTTACCCTCTGGTAAACTAACATAACTATGGAAAATCACCATTTTTAATGGGAAAATCCACTATAACTGGCCATTTTCAATAGCTATGTCACAAATTACCAGAGGGTATCATTGCCCTCTGGGAATCAAACATAGCAGTGATCATTTTTTTATAGTTCGATGATTCCCCAGCGAACAAAACCTCCATTTAGTTCGGGGATTTCCCAGCCAGCCATGTTTGACTATCAGAGGCTAATTCCCTGAATCACCATTATTGATCACCATATTTACCATCACTATTATTGATCAGCATTATTGATCACCATTATTTATCACCATATATTCACTATTAACCATTATTAACATATATTAACCATTATTAACATATATTAACCATTATTAACATATATTAACCATTATTAACATATATTAACCATTATTAACATATATTAACGATTATTAACATATATTAACCATTATTAACCATTATTAATATATATATATATATATTAACCATTATTAACCATTATTAAAATATATTAACCATTATTAACCATTATTAGCATATATTAACCATTATTAACATATATTAACCATTATTAACATATATTAACCACTATTAACCATTGTTAACATATATTAACCATTATTAACATATATTAACCATTATTAACATATATTAACCATTATTAACCATTATTAACATATATTAACCATTATTAACATATATTAACCATTATTAACATATATTAACCATTATTAACCATTATTAACATATATTAACCATTATTAACATATATTAACCATTATTAACATATATAACCATTATTAACATATATAACCACTATTAACATATATTAACCATTATTAACATATATTAACCATTATTAACATATATTAACCATTATTAACATATATTAACCATTATTAACATATATTAACCACTATTAACATATATTAACCATTATTAACATATATTAACCATTATTAACATATATTAACCATTATTAACATATATTAACCATTATTAACATATATTAACCATTATTAACATATATAAACCATTATTAACATATATAAACCATTATTAACATATATTAACCGTTATTAACATATATTAACCATTATTAAAATATATTAACCATTATTAACATATATTAACCACTATTAACATATATTAACCATTATTAACATATATTAACCATTATTAACATATATTAACCACTATTAACATATATTAACCATTATTAACATATATTAACCATTATTAACAGATATTAACCATTATTAACATATATTAACCATTATTAACATATATTAACCATTATGAACATATATTAACCATTATTAACATATATTAACCATTATTAACATATATTAACCATTATTAACATATATTAACCATTATTAACATATATTAACCATTATTAACATATATTAACCATTATTAACATATATTAACGATTATTAACATATATTAACCATTATTAACCATTATTAACATATATTAACGATTATTAACATATATTAACCATTATTAACCATTATTAATATATATATATATATTAACCATTATTAACCATTATTAAAATATATTAACCATTATTAACATATATTAACCATTATTAACATATATTAACAATTATTAACATATATTAACCATTATTAACCATTATTAATATATATATATATTAACCACTATTAACCATTATTAATATATATTAACCATTATTTATTCCTATTGTTAATAGTTACGCCCCCATGAGTTCACACGATGGAATCCCCTTTATATCCATTAATGTTCCATCCATATTCCACTATATCCCATTATCATTGGATTGGTTTAAGGGAAAACCTACAGGAAACCATGGTTTTTACCATCAAATATAGGGCTTTCGTGTAAATTTTCCCATCATCCAATTCTATGACATTACTATCAACATTAATCTAACATTAGTCAAACCTTAGTTACCATTAACATTCAGCAATGTTCATGTAGATTAGTTACCACGAATACCACCAGAATACCACTAAATTGCCATTTTTATTT